ATATATATACATTAACGTACCAATGAATTCAAATGTATAACTCAGATACAACACTGATGAATCCAAAAGCTTTTTTCTGTAATAGGAATTTCAATGCGGTTTATTAAACTTTATAGGCCTAACATTTTTATCTTTTATGTTTATTATATATGTCTATGGTATTACATACATAACAAACACATGAACCTTATATTTTAGTATGTATAATTATATTAGTACGTGTTGAAAAAACTGATTTATCTATATTTGATTGTCCTTGGATTATGAGAAAAAACTATGAATATTGCAACAGATGAGCAATATAATTGTATTCATTTAGATGAAATATTAATAAACCTATTATCGAATGCGGCCACAACCATAAGTAAAATATGCAGTAGATTCTGAACTGCACTGCAATTGACAAGCATATCTGTGACTAGACCAGTAATCTATCGGCGACATGGATACAGAACGGGTAGTGCTTAATGTATGTTTTCAAACTACTTTGTTTACTAACGAGATCATTAATGCTGTTGAAATGTGTTTAGTATGATATTGTGTATGAACATTTACAATGAGTACGTCACAAAATTCTACACCGTTGATGCAGCTATCCGATGAATGGATGCTTAGAAAATTAGTCTATTAAATTAGATAGCTAAATAATTTATTTATGCGTGTATTGATGAATTGAATCGATGAACAGTGCACTCAATCATCGACGTAATTATCGTTTGTTGAAGAGTCTTCATATAATCACATTGCGTTGTTGTCACATCGGTTGTACCATCTTGTGCGTTTTTTTTGTTTTTGTTTTTTTTTCGTTCTGTTTTTATTATCAACTCATAATACACAATGCATACAAACATGTATGGATATGAGACTGCAGTACTACCAGCCAATATTAACTTGGATAATGTATTCCGTATTTTACGCCTCTCGGGAATATTGTAGACATTCGGTGGCAGATATGAACTGTGCTGGAATGAACTTCGTGAATACGTTTTGCCACGAGGCGCGCTGCACAAACGTGTCGCCACAATCGATGCGTTTGCTCATCTGTAGATTTTCTTTCCTCACTGACACCCGATTTAGTTCATTGCATTAATTGAATGAAATGATAGTGTCGATAGTCGATTTTGATCATGCATTTACTTGCTTAAAGTAACTGTTCATTTGAAAGGAGTTTGGCTCGTAGGTAGCCAAGTCCAAGGCCGCCCCTGAACAATCAATTCTTTCTTAAATGGACTTCTGCGACAACTACTTAAAGTATCTAACGTATGTCAATTACTAGGGTTCTTTATACAGGGGATTAAATCGGAGGCAAATCAAATCACAAATTCAAAGTGAATGACGTTATGATTTAAAATATTAACGTTCAAAACACATGATTGTCCTTGCGGAAATTCACATAAACTTAATATAACGTTAATGTTAATTTATTCGGAGCATAAAGTAATAATTTAAAATCAATCTTCTTTCTTATGAATTCTTCAGGTGAACAAGTTAAACATGTAGTGTGGTATGCTTGAAGCCTTGTCGTGGTGCCCAGTCTTCATATAGGCCTAAGTTTGTGAGACCCTAATCGCCTTTGGGTGAAGTCGTGGCTGTATGATGTGGTTGGTGGTTTGTCCGTCACAGTAACACATCTTTAAGCGGTACGGCTCCGATCGTATAGAGGGACGAGGTACTAAATTCCCAGCCAGTTCTGAGACGGCTTAGATAAGTCAGAGCCTCACGAGGAAGATCGCATCCTGTGGTCACCTGAAAGAGTGTTTTTATAATATCATGGAGTTTTATTGAAAATCCCGACCATGTTCGCTTCAAGGTAGGTTGGTGTGGGGTCACATTTTGTGAGCCATTGATGTAAACATTTTAGTGAGTTTCATTTTGGCTAGACAATTATCTGATGAAAGGTAGAGCAGACGGTTTTATGCCTGATGAGTTGCCATCTGCCATCTACTAAAGTAACTAGGCCTACTAAGAAACTGAGACTGCTTGATGAATTCGTTCAGTTTGTCGAAGGATTTTTCAGTCAGGCAGCAGTGTAATCTGCATATATACAGAGTTTGGTGGTGTTACATGAAGTTTAAACTTATAGATTAAAACAATAGGTCAATTAAATCCCTGTCGGAGACCACTCTTGTTCTGTTTCGGCATTTATTGGGCGTTTCAAGAATGATCATGTTACCTTGCACAAAAGCATCATGAACGTACAGAGCTTAACATCTGGATTATTTTAAGAAGCTTGTGATGGAGGTCAGGATGTCAAAATAATAAGCAGTAGACTATTTTTTTTTCTTGACGGCAGGTTGACATTTTAGTGGAATATCGAATGAGTAGTCAGTGATCGACCGTCATGCTTTAGCATGATGACATGCCTCGGGTATATCGGTGATCCTGGCTAAAATCAATGTCTCTTTAGTAGTTAGCAGACACGAAAGAGGAGGAATGTGGGACGATATCTCATCAGGCCAATAGATGGTTTCTTGGGTTTTAGTATTATATATAGTTATCAAGGTATTGGCAACCTTTCTGCATCAGTGATTGACATCTCCAGGCAACTGGGCAGCGGTTCGACAAATCTGCCCACGGCTGACGCTGTGCGTCTTAAACTTCGGTGTGGACCTTTCATTATCATTTGACATTTCTATCAATTCTGTTATGCCGGGCACTCACTACGTCGTCCGACCATCGGCCGGCAAATTCAACTCAGCTCCCCGTAGGCGTTAGACGACACGATGCCGTCTGCTGAATGTCGGTGGCAGTCTGAAGGGATCGTCATTAAAAACGATCCGTTGCGAGCGCGTTGTGACGTTGTGTTCTTCATAGAATTGCGTCCGGACGCAGTGAGTTTCTTGCTTTATACTCACAGTTTGGAAGTCCATAAGAAGTTAACTTTACCTATAAGAACCAGAACCATTACAAAGACATATCTGAGACACAGTAACGGATTTTGCTTTGGTTTTAAAAGATAACTGTGTTGAACCAATAATTAACCATTTAAATTTCTCAATATAGGTCCTATCCTATATATTGGTAAGCATTTTGGCTTTAAAATAGAAATTTCAGAGGGGAAATATTACTAGTAAAGAAATAAAAATAAACAATACCGTCCCCCATTCGTTACAGACCTTGCATTGGCTGGTAATTAATTTTAATATTAACGAAAACTGAATCATTGCGTTCAGGGTCTGATGAAAAGTTAATAGCTTACTTGATTCTTCTTTTAAAGTAACAATTCATTTGTGAGTGTTTTTTTTGACAGCAGGTAACTGAGGACATATACAATTCTTTTTATTCGACCTTTAGCTTTTAACCTCTCAAGCCGTTAATATTTAACCTCTAATGTATCTTCAACCTTTAACTTTTAACCACCATATATTCTAGTTATGTTCGTAGTTATTGGCATTCATCTGCCGTCTACCGTTAATATTATTTAATTTTAACCTCTATATCTACGTTTAAATGTAACCTCTATGTTTTCATGATATGTACTCAGCATCTAACATTAAAATTGTACCTTTTAACATTAGCAAGGAAAATCTAGTTAGTTAATCATTTCCTTTCATTTTCTCATTTCACTTTTTTATGAATTACGTTTTTACAGAAAAAATGTATTCCGCATGTAGACATTAGCATACTTTTCTATCTCTATATTCTATATAATAAGAATTTAAAAAAACATTTGAAGGCAGAATACAAATAAATATTTCATTACGTGCCGTACTACAAATTCGTAGAAAGAATACAACAAGAATCATTATTACATGACAAGAATATCTATATCACACAGACTGCGACTACAGTCAGAAGATATAGAGTTTCAATATAATGCGCATTTACCCTTGTCTTGGTTGGTGCAATTCTACCTAATCTATTAAATTATTTTGTCATATTAAGTGGATGATACATGATTTTAATGCATAGGTTTTCCGGGCCCAAATCCTGCCTGTTGTTTTGGCGATTCTTGGGATAGGAATAGGTTCACTACACTGCAAATGTCAAAGATCAAATTAGTTTTATTGACTACAATACAAGGTAAAATTTAAAATTGTTTTCCTTATGGGAAAAACGGACGCATAAAGTGTGTGTGTGTGTGTGTGTGTGTGTGTGTGTAAGTATTTAACTATGTACGCAAATTCACAACTAATTAACGTTGCAACGTTACGTTAAACATAACTTTCTGACATAGGCCTACATAACCGAAACGTTAGCGAACGTTATGATAACGTTTTGTGTTTGCTAAGGAGAGATTTTATTCATCATATTCAAACAAATCAAATGTATTCCTTTTGTAACAATGATGACACAATGCAATATTCAAAAGAAGTCAATAAATCAAACACAGTACAAAGCAAGCTATCGGTTGCTGAGTGGTCATATGCACATAATATTAATTCATATACAATGCGATCATTACCGACTTCCAATGCGCCACGACATTAACAAAAAATAATGTTCTCTTTTTTAAAGATTTTATTGGCGAGGAAATATCTTACTCTTCTAATTATTAGTTTTTACGATACTAATTTACTTTTATACAAAGTACCGTAAAATGTAAATAAATATGAAATTTATTTTCTCTTGATAGGAAACATGGAGAGGGTGAGGCAGAACATGCCATAAAATGCCCTGATTCTAAATGTAACGCTGTTGATTTTTACTCTTTTCTGTTTAACCGTGTCAAATTAGGACCATCAAGTCAGCAAAGCTTTTCATTTTGTATCATTGAAACTCTAATCAAGTTTTTGAGGTTTGTGAGAAGTTAAAGTCCCATCCGTATTTTTTAAACGTTTAAACTCTCTTCACACTATCACATTTTATGTAAAGTGTGATATGCACATATTTGGGTGAGATATTACATCATCAAAAATCGTAATTGATATTAATGAATCATTTGATTAATTATATTTGATTTATATGACAATATTTAATTGAATCATTATTGATTATTAATAGAGTTACCATACTGTACTTAATGTGTACTTGGCAATACCTACCAAAGAAACAGAACTTACAAACTAAGTAATTGTACAAAAACATTCTCCTTCTTAAAAACATGCATGTCTGAAGCTCCGTCTGCACTATAAAATGTTATTGAAATACACGCCATCGTGTATAACATTTTATGTGACAAAAATATGTGATGTGCCCATATATATGGGCACGAGGACGTAATATCACATAATTCCAAATTGTATTTTAAAAAAAAGGAACCTGTTTGATGTCGTCTTTCAAAAATTTGTCAAATTTGTTTAGATAGCACCTTTTCATTAATACGCAAACACTACAAATCACAACAACCAATCGGATTAGATCTGATTAATCGGATCGGATCGGATTAGATAATTAAGTTTTATTAAAATACATCACATTTTTTATGAGGCAGTTGGATGTATTTTGATATTGTTATATCAAATTTTATGTGACGCTTTTTTAAATTTTATTAAAACTGATAGTGTGGACGGAGATTTTATTTGAGAGTGTGATCAGAGCTTAAAGCTCCGTCCACACTATCAAATTCTATGTGACAAATGTATGTGATGTGCTGCGCTTATTATGTCATATCGTAAAACCTCAATTTGAAGCCAGGGCTTTGTTTGTTTGTTTGTTTGTTTTTTTTTGCGAACTTTGGATGGGCTTCTTATCGAGATGGACTTCTCCTCGAGATGGGGTTCTTTTCTAGGCTACTTTTGCGAAGTAAAATGGGGGGAGGCTTCATTTCAAAATGAATGCTGTTAATTTTTGGAATTTGTACTATAAAACTATATAAATAAGGCCACTGTAACATCAATCTGTATCATGGAATGTATTAACTGACATTAAATAATCTAAACTACTGTGTAATTTATTTTGGGATTTTTTTGAAATTCATGTACAGTATACGTACTGTATTATTTCGAACAGAAGCCTATGCTATCTTGAAAAGAAGCCCATGTGCTTTTTTTCAAGATGGGCTTATTTCCGAGGCTAATTTTCCAAACTAAAGAGGGGGCTTCAATTTGAGATGGGCTTCTCAAGATTAAGGCCATTGGGCTTCATTTCGAAGTTTTACGGTAATACACCCAAATATGGGGATAACACGGTACAGAGTTTTACACAAGATGACAAGACGTGTAGTGTATCATTCTGTACGGGTACGCCGAGGCAATCCTCGAACCTTCCGATTTTTGCTATTGTCATGCTGACGGCGCATTGTGCACAGAACCGGCGTCATTAATTCAAACGAAAGCATTTATTTTGTGATTCGGGTTTTTATTTTAAAAGGTATGCGATTAAATTGGTTGAGTAATGCATACGCATATATTGAGTGTCTACCGAGAACGGTTGCTGAATCACTGGATAGAAATTGTCTATGCATTGTAATTTGAATCCAGTATAATATTACAAATTGAATTGCTGTTAATTCAGATATTTTTTCCTATGATATCAAATCTTCTATAATTTTACGAAAAATGGCAAAATGGTCCGTATTTCAGTCTGCTGTTTTCGAATGGAATGATTTTGTCTGGCAGAGCTAGCAGCAATTCCTCGTGCTTACGTATCTTGATATTTTGCAAATTAAAACCGAACCTTGCATGTACAGTAGTATGCCTAGAGATTTGAGTGAATATACAGTGTCTTTAAATGTTAAAATAACAAGCCTCGGCTTCCTATAAGATGTAGAATTTTGAGGTGGGCACTCAATGGGTCGTACGTCGAATCCAACACCGCTTCTTGTGAGCGCTGACGAAGCGACGCTGTCATGTTGATTTCGGTGATAGTCTGAAAGGTTCGTCATTAAATACGATCCGTTGCGCGCGCGTCGAATTATAGAATCGTGTC